TCCTGATAACTTACTTAAACTAATTCTAAACTTGTAAAATAACTTAAGATGTCAACCAAATAATGATAAGACTGCACTCAGTAACACAAATATGATAATACTAAAAATTACTTTTTGTGGTTTGTTGTTAAAGTTAAAAGAAAAATATCGCTTTATTCATTCTAAGTTAAATTTAAAACCAAATTGTTTTCTTTTTATACTTTATTCTTATATTGTTTAAGATTTGCTTATGAAATTTAAGGGAAAACTTCTATTTGTACATTATAAGTCGAATTAAAAAAAATATTGTTTTTATTTTTATAATAACCAACTTTTTAAGATTCGTTGTAGATGTTAAAAGAAAAATGTTAGTTTAAACTTTTTATGATTTGTTGTTAAAGTTAAAAATAAAATGTCGGTTTGTTCATTATAAGTTAATTAAAAAAAAAAATTGTTTTCATTTTTATATTGATTTAACTAATTTTTTTATGATTTGTTGTTGAAATTTAATTGTATTATGTTCATTCTAAAATAAATATAATAAAATAAAGTTACATACTAGTTGTAATGTTTGGTGTAAGCACCAAAAAAGTATAGGTTATAATAAACTTTTCCCTATGATAAGATATATTTGTATATATTTATATTGTAATTAACTTAATCAACTTAAAAATAGCAACTTAAATGTCGCCAAAAACGGATGTCAACAGATTATCTTAGCTTTACATATTAACATGGATATGCTATTGGGCGAACGCTGTACGTTACCGAGTATTATTGATACATAAAAGACTATATTATATTTAATTTGGCAAAATTATCGCGTTGCGCTCTAGAAAGCGAAATCAGAAAGAAAAGTACTTTTGGTTATGAGTGAGTACAAGTCGTTTTTCTGTAAGAATAACACATTCAATTCCGGCGCGCTCACTATCAGCAGATAGGCCGTGACTCAGCGATTGCAACGCGGGGTTACCCGTCTCTCTAGATGCACTACCCGCCGGGTTAAAGCTCTTAAAAGGCAAATTTTGTAAATTTTTCACAGCAAAAATCCATTGTTGATATTTGCATAACGACGGCCACCGGCGGCTATAAACTTATCTATATCTCACGTACCTCACACAGTTCATATGACAATATTATATACAAAATAACAATTAATAAGAAAAAAAAAATGTTCAACAAAATCCCAAAAAAGAGGGGTTTTTCCGAGTTTTCATGGCCGTTATTTTGGCTAGAGGGTGACGCGACACCGCGTTGGAATCGCTAGGCTCCCGTCTATCTATCAGTACTAAGCGCGTGAAGAAATATGCGGCTTCGCTCCTTTTTCAGGTACACCGAAGAGTACTTATGCGCTACCACTGACCTGACATTCGGGTGGCTTCTTGGGGCGACCGCACCTGTTCGACTATCTCAGTCGATTCTGCACCGGACGTCGCCCGAAATCTACCTTTCCAGCCAAAAGATACGACTTGGAAAATTTTCGGCCGATTACAGTACAACTTGCCACAATATCACGTCTTCCTTGGAAAAATACGACAGCTACAGTCTTCCCTCCATCATCACATCTGCAGGGGACTGTAATGAACAATTAAGCATGTAGAACGCAAAAAACTAACCGATTGTTCACCAGTAATCGCAAAAGTTCGCTAGACGTAATCACAAAACTTGCCAGCAGTTAGGTTGTATCTGGGGTTTTGAGATCCTAGGACCCTAGGACTCTAAGACCGGTTTATTGACGAAAGCTATTAATTTACTCAAATACTAGTAGTTTAGACACGAGGCCCGACACTTACCGGCCAAAGCGAACCAGAACAAGAACTTCGGCAAGGAGATTGTCAAACGCACAATCGGCAAAGCGACGGCTCTGAAGAGACTTATCCAGGCGGAGGATAAGGCCCAACCTGCTGGCGAACAGGAGAGCGGCCAAGTCCACGTCAGGAGTTCACAAAGATCAACATTTGTCCGTGTGGACAGCTATATAGCATATTTATATATTTTTATTCAAACTTTAATAAACAATTAAGTTATAACTAGGAGTTTATTGAGCATTTTCATGTCTCGTTGAAGTACCGAATAAATTTAGAGTAATGGTGCAATTATAGATAATGATATAGTAACACTTTTTTCGATTATGTGCCAGATCTAAGAGATGAAAATGTCAAAATAAAGATCTATAATCCACATGAACGTTTTAATAAAAAAAACAAAAATCTCCAACTGAAAAATTTATTAAAAACTCGCATTCGTTTCAAAGTGATTTCTGAGATAAGAACTTTTTCTAATAAACTGTTATTTAGTTTTGTGGCAGGTTGAGCTTTTTCTATGAAATTACCGAGACTCGATATATTAAACAAACATTTATTTTATATATTATATACAGTGAACGTGAACCAAATTGGTTTTCAGTTTATTCAATTAAATTGTTATTTATATGTTTTAAACATTACAGTCAGTTATAATATTGCAAACAAAATTTGTGAGAATGTACTTAGAGTTAAACTATATAGGTCTGAAATTTTAGGAATTTCTTGGGCGACCATCAAATGGAGAGGTGAGCCGTGAGAGAAACAAAAAAAAAAAAAAACGAAGGAAATTGAAAAGTACTAGCTAGATAATATTTGTGATTTATAGTGCTGCTACTCGAAAGAATTGGTCTAGTATTAGAAGTTACAGTATACACAAACACATAAAAAGCACACATCATAATGTAACTAATGGCCTTTCAACTCCACAACGAAATAAATAAAATAGGACATAAACACAATTTTCATTGTAATATACAAAATTGATTCCTACAATAACCTAGAAAAGATGCAGGTTAGCTCAAATATTTTTACAGAATCGAAATTAAACCAGCCTGATTTTGCATAGTTATGTCAGGCTTTTAGGTCAAAAGATATTCACTGGATTTAAACTTATAATTCTTACAACAGTTTCCGGCTACAATGTCGCATAGGTACTTTTGTATTGCACGGTTATCAGTGCACAAACATCAATCAAGATTGTCAATATATTATCTTTTCTGATGATCTTTCCTTTAGTTGAATGATTAAACATCAGATTGGTAAACATCAATCGTATAACCACTAACCAGCAATCGCTATTTTTTCTCTGTATATACAGAAAAGTTAATTTTGAAGTTTGTAGAAAATAGGGAAATGTTTTTGTGTAAACTTAGAGCTATTAAGATAGTATAGTAAAAACATTATTTTTTTTTATCAAATACATACTATTGTTTCCAAGTAACTGTATCTTTTATTCCTAAAAATGTTTTTCCGCTAGAATAAAATATAAAAAAAATTTTTACATCTTTACACTATTCTTTAGTTATATCTTAGTTAAGTCTAATTTTAATTCCAAAATCTACAGTTAAAAAAACGATTAAAAAATATGTTGCTGCCACTTTAAGGAAAAAATATTAACCCGTTAACACTTGACGGTCATGACTGCTATAGCATGCTGCATGCTATTGACATAGCTAGTTAATTCGGTTTTAATTTAGGAAAAAAATATATATCTTAAGTGATACAAAAAAACCCCTCTATAGTAAATTCAAAGAGCTTCTTAATTTTATCACAATTTTGAAACGAGTAGATTTTATTCCGTAATTTTTACATCAAATTTTTAGCTAGTCAAAAATGAAAAAAAAACAGGTAACGTTCATTTAGAAAACCAAATTCCTTTATATACATGTTGTACTTAACAATGTTATACCTATTAAAAAGTCGGTCTAATTTGTCCCTTTCTAAATAACTAATAAAATTATAGTAATTTTTCTTTTTTCTTATAAATAAAAATAATGTTGTACAAAATATAAGTAATCGGTGTTTATTTGAAAAGTACTAGCGATTTTGGATTCATTTTTCGTTAATACATATTGTATCTTGAAAAATTAGTTTTAGTAACATTTCAAGAGAGTTTAAAACATTAAAAAAAAAAATATATATATATATTCTATATTCTTAATAAACTACGCATCTCTTTTTGTCTCCATAATAGTGTTGCTTCTTTCCTTTCTTGAGCGAATTTTTCAACGGATACCCCCAATTTACTACAATAGTCTTTAAAAACTATACTAAATATTCGTAAATCTATCCAATCTAAAACAAAAAAAAAACGAAAATTTTGAATTTAAATATAAAATATAATATTTTTTATAATAGAAACACCACCATGAAACATTCATGGTGAGTTTTCGATGAAGCAATTTATTTTATCTTCGATGTGCAGTTGAAAAAATTATGTTTTATAGTGATGTGTTTTTATTTGTTATAATTTATGTCTGGACTAAGGTGTGGTAACTTTTTTTTCATTTCACATTTATGGGCTCTCATCAATTTTAATAGTATATTACATTTTATATGTAACAAGATGTCCGGATTCGGCGTTGCCCGAGATTTAGTGTGCCAGGGCTGAGTAAAATAATTCCCATTTTCCCATTCCCATCCCCACCTTCATTTCCATCCCGTTCCCTATCCCTCATCTTTAATCTCTAATCTCCTATCTCTTATCAGTTATTAAATATTCGTGAATCTATCCAATCTAAAACAAAAAAAAAAAAACAAATTTTGAATTTAAATATAAAATATAATATCTTTTATTATAGGAACACGATGTGGTGTAGTTTTCGATGAAGCAATATTTTGTTTTAGCTTCGATGTGCAGCTGAAAAAATATTGTTTTTATTTGTCTACATTTATGTCGGGACTAAGGGGTGGTACCTTTTTTTTTCATTTTACTTTTTTGAGCTCACTTTTGGGTCTCACCAATTTTAATAGTAGGTATATTACATATTATATGTTATTTTTTTTTTGTCACTTTTTACATCTACCAAACTGTAACTGTATACATTGTCTGATAACATCACATTATTTAAAAGCCATTTTGTTAAAAAAAAAAAATAGGATACATATTTTAATTTTTGTAAATTCGAATGAAAATAATTTCTTTAAAACCAACTTTCTTACAGTTTCGCATCGAAGATAAAAAAAATTGTATTTAATGATATGTAACGTGCGTAGTTAATGTTTACTTGCTGTTTCGAAAAATTCTGTAAACTTAAAACTCATCAAGTAGACCATAACGGAACCATAATCGTCTACAGAGTTTTTCATGTACTTGCAAAATTGATCTTCTGTAATTTTAATGAGTATGTCATTTGTATTGCGACTGAACCATTCTCTACAATCTTTGAACACATCTTCTATAATCTAAAAATTGTTAATCAGTACAAAGTTTAATTCTATAAAATATTATAAAGTTTAAATACTCATATACTTAAATATACGTATAACCATTGAGTATATATACTCAACGGTATAACTTAAGTGCTAATTATTAACAAGGCTTTAATACAACACAAATATACTTTAGCGGTTAAATACAAAAAAAAAATAGTATTAATTACCTCATCATCAGATTTTCCTTTTAATTGTAAGTTTTGAAACTAAAATGATAATAGTTTCTTGATAACAATGGCATTTTAGGAAAACGTTTTACTTTATAATATAAATAATTCAGCAAAATATTCCAAAAAACCTAATAGTTTCAAGTTAATAGTATAAATTACCTCAGCTACTATTTCCAGTTTAGGATTAGTTGAACTTGAAGCTTCTGGACCTACCTGAATTAACAAAATAATTTTAAATTTATTTTGATATTAAATATTAATGAAATATTTTATTTGAAAGTCTTAAGTAAAAAAAAATATTTTCCTAAATAAGAATGGCTATTTAGGATAACTTTAACCTTTATGTAATAAATAATTCAGCAAAATATTAAAATAATAGTATAAATTACCTCAGCTACAATTCCTAGTTCTGGATTAGTTGAGCTTGAAGCTTCAGGTAGGTCCAAATCCATATAGCTAGCCTCTAGGATATAACATAGTATATAGTAGTTCATTAATTATTCTGTCCTTGAATGCCGGTTTTTATGGAAATAAAAAAATACTAAGACTATACAAGTACATAAGTACATGGAATGTGAATGGTCCTGAATTTTTAAGACGCTGCATCATTATTTATATTGAACATTTTCAAAACCATACAAACACATTGATGTTTTTACAAAGAAGTGTGTAATTGTTTTTTTTAATTTTACAAAAAATAGGTTAGAAATTGTGTATTGCAACACCATTACACATTTTCAACTTGTACCATTATTTCGCTAGAATTTGTTATTTTTTTGTTTATACGGGAGCACTGATTTTACTTTCTTAGAAAATCGATGTTTATAGTAGTCATCTACCATAAGTTGACAGTGTTTGCGAATCAGATATACTTTTTAAGGATTTGTATACACAGATGTGTCACTATGTTGTTATTTCTACGCGCTATATCATTTGACTAATTACAAAACAGAATATAAAAGGGTTGAAATATTTCGTGGATGACTTTTAGAAGGACCTTTGTCAACACGGGGATAATGATAACCTAATTTTTTATTAGGCGTATCCAAGTTTAAACCTCAGATACATTTTTTTGACACGCTGACTTCACCTTCTTTTGACAATTTTTGATATACATGTCTTAGCTGTGGTACAAAACCGAAAAAAAACGTAACGAATCAGTATCTCGTAGGGAGATAGGGGTAGGAGATAGGGGTAGGGTTGGTAGATAGGGGTGGGATAAAGGAGGTTGAAGATAGGGGTGGGAGATAGGGGTGAGTGATAGGGGTAGGTGATAGATGTAGGAGATAGGGGTAGAAGATAGGGGTGGAAGATAAGGGTTTTATGTTGTATTCACACAGTTTAAAATAGAAATGAATAAAAAATTCAATCATTTAAGCGGCTGAATTCCCTATGAATTGTTTTGCTCCAGATATTATGAAAAAACTAAAATATTAGCCAGAAACTTGGTATGATTACTAGCCACCTTAGATACATAAAAATGTATCCCGTGTTGTTGCGGACTCGTACGCAAGCTGTTTAAATATACAATATGTAATACCTATGTGAAAATCTATTATAGAACCTTGCAAATCATCGAATAGCGAACGCATACAAAATACGCGTAACGAATCAAATAAATAAGTTTTTTCTGTATAACTAAAACACATACCTAATGACGTCTCAGTTTCTATAGTTACATGGTTATATTTTAGCGCAGAAAGCACACGAATCTCAAAAAAATAAAAATTTCATCTGGAAATGACACTACATTTATGTCTAACATTTTAATAAAATACATTATACATTATTTGTAAACAATGCCCAGGCCTGTTTTAGGTAGCATATTTAGGTTTTATATTTGATTAAAATTTGTTTTAGACATTTTTTTTTAACCAACAACTAAATTCTATTTAATTACCTCCTTCCTCTGAGTCGTTTGAGCCACACCTGAAAAGTTAACGTTAATTTTAAAAATTATGTTTCATCACCAAAAATCTAGGTCTGATTACATTTTTTATACAAGTTTTATTCCAGAAATAATGTTTAAAAAAATACTTACGAAGCATATGCTGCTAGACTAAGTAAAATTATAATCTTGATATTCATCATATTTAATGTATTATCAATATAATATTCAACTGTAACGATGTACTTGTTTAACTTGACTACAAAATCACACTGTGTGTTACTACAATATTACTACAGAAAACAACTATGTATATACATCTGCGATAGCTGACTACACAAATAAGAAATTTTAGGTCTTGGTAGCAAGACGTGGAATATATTTACCGGGCGTATTGTACAATTTAGTACCTACAATTTTGTATGTAACTTAATAAAAGTTCTAACATGAATTACATCAATAGACTATTGATAATGTTTTATCATGTTTCGATCAATTGTTATAAATAATATTATTACAATGGATTTTGTTCCCTCGTGTCGATTCCTGGGTTGAGCTCAATACATGGTTAGGATTTTCTATAAAACAGAACAAGAAATTAATAAACAGGATGGGGCAGTGAAACAGGCGATTTCCAATGTATTTAAATGGGAAAATCGCCCGTTTCACAGCCCCACCCTTTACAATTTAGGGATCTTTGAAAGTTTTTTTAGTAGAATTTTGTTTTGTACATTGTCAATTTAGTAAAAAGGAAGTATAATAGAGCTATGAAAGAATATAATCTATGTAGTATAAATAGATAGCGTGAGATTGCTTTAATGGAAGTGTATAATACATAAATATTATTTTTATTGCGAATAAGCAATTATAATTAAAACTATGGAGTAAAAACGATCGAAACATGAATCATCGAGAATTCCAACTAATTTAACAAGTCATTGACTATGTGTTATTTGGCCCACTATGTTTTTGCAAAAAAAAAACAGTATGTAGGGTCGGGATATAGTGGGGTCTGAGCATAAAGGGGTCGGGGCATAGTTGGGATGAGGTCACAGGTTTACAGGAATTATAAAATCTGAAAGTGATAAAATCACTTTTGAAAAAACGCTTCCACGCAAAGCAATAGTTAGTATTTTCAAGACAGTACAGTAATAGCTACTGTCAACTTTGTATGTTGGTAACGTTGGTGATAAAAAAAAAAAAATTGTTTTATTTTGAATATTTCAACGAAAGGAAATCATACTAAGGACGAAAATGGAATGTGGATGATAAGATAGATGCCATTAGAACATTCTTAATGCAGGAGAATTAGAATTTCATCTATCTTACATATTGACCGTAATCATTGTACAAATATAGCGATAATGACAAATTATACATTAACTTTATTTTATTTATCAACAAACTCAGGTGAAAATCTTCAATTTCAGACATACGCTAGGGCACCATCACAAAATTGTCTTATTGACACTAGTAGTTAATCCGAAAATTGTAAGATAATACATTTTATATTGGCATCTGGAGGAGGTTAAGTTAAGCAATATAGATAGTTCTGACAACATATTCCAGTTGCTCTGACCGTACAAGTTATAAAAATACCAATAATGTTTTATATATTCTTTCATTGTTTTGTCAAATTAAGTCAATTCATGCATACTGTTTATTCGGTGCTCAACACTCGTTTTCATCAGTCATTGCCATTATATATAACTTTTATTTTGTACTTTAGATTTGTTACCCTCTCCACCTGTTCCCATCACAATTTATTGTTGGGTATTATTTTTGAAATAATTTTGACTACATGGTTTTATTTCTACAATTTTTTAACAAAGTTTTTTTTTTTTGGATTAGCGAATTAAAAAAAACTGATATTTTGATCATACAAAATGTGTAACATCTGAATACATATATTCTGTATGTAACCATGTATACTACGTATGAACCTTTAAATATGTTTGTTACAATATTTTCAGAATAATCGACATAAAATATGTACATAATATTGTATCTGTAACAACTGGGAAAAGTGTGTAAGACGATTTCAGTGATTTTTAGGGGAGCGATTTTAAACTTGAAAGAAACCACTTGAGTACTTCAAAGTATTTGTCAATAAAAGAGGATCATAAAAAATCATCTTATACACTATTCTTTAGTTATACATTAGTTAGGTCTAATTTTAATTCCTAATACTCCAGGTAAAAAAAATAATTAGAGAGTATGTTTCTGCCACTTTTATGAAAACATATTAACCCGTTGACGGTCATGACTACTATAGCATGCTATTGACACAGCTAATTAGTTCAGAAAATAATTTAGGAAAAATTTTAAATATCAAAATTGTAACGACTAACCCCACTCTCCTTCATACTAAATTCAAAAGAGCTGCTAATTTGATCATAATTTTGAAACGAGTAGATTGTTACCATTTAAGTGGGTCAAAAGATATTCACTAAATTGAACTTAAAATAATTTTTACTACAGTTTCGGTTAATAGTATAGCCATCCGACTTAAGAGGGTTTTCTTCAAATTCTAATAAGTACATTTTATTAAACGGTTATTAGTCCATCAATCAGATCAATCAAGATTGTCGATATCTTAATTTCACTCATAATTTTTCCTTTAGTTGAATAATTAAATCTCATATAACCATGAATCGTATAAACACTAACCAGCAACCGCTATTTCTATCTGGTTATACAGAAACGCTATGTTTGAAATTTATAGAAAATTCGGTACATTTTATTTGTGTAGACTATCAGCTAATAAGGCGGACTATTCTAGTGACTGAGGGGGGGGGGGAGAACCAAGGGGATAAGGATCCCCTCCCTCCAACTACGCCTATGGATTTGTTAAGAAAACATCCTCTTCGATAATGTATCTAACCTATATTTTATGCTTTCGAATTTTAAATCTTGGTTTTTAACCCAATTTGGACTTGAGTTTCAGTAGTAGATTTCAAAACTGATTGTGAGTCGATTATGTATTGAACAATCTACCTACACGACGTTAACCGTTTTCAAATGGGTTTCTTATACTATACAATGTATTATACCTTATGCTTCCCTAAGAAATATGGCAATATTTTTGTATTGTTTAGTATAAAAACACTCGATACATTCATGTAAACATCGTAAAAAGGCGTTTGCATAGTATGTTATTTCCCGAATTCTAACAAGTATAATAATAATTCCTACCATCGCATTGGTCCCATGGAGCCAGATTAACAACTATTAAAAATCTACATCAGCCTCAAATAACTCAAATTTTGGCTCGCTATAAAACCTTCACATCAAAATCAGCAATGAATATAATTATATATTATTTGGAAATTTAATGATATTAATAGTTAATTATCAAGAAATAAAAAGTAGTTTAATAAAAAATGCGTGATGTAGATATCAAAACGTTTTCTATTTCTTCGTAATTAGAAATTTGTTAACAATTATAAAATATAATTTCTCAAACATGTCGAAAGCCTTTATGGTTTAATAGGTTGTATTGAATACTTTTTACCAGAAAAATTATTTTTTAAATAATGGGACTAATAGAAATAAAACCAATACAGTGGGGTCGGGGCATAGTGGGGACGGAGCATAGTTGGGTCGGGCATAGTGGGGACGGAACATAGTTGGGTCGGGGAATAGTGGAGACGGGGAGGTCATAGGTTTACAGGAATTTTTAAATCTGAAAGTGATAAAATCGATTTCATCCGAGAGGACTAGTACAGTAGCGTATAGGCATAATATAATCAAAGCAATGAGGAAACGGAGATGTCGCAGGTCTACAGGAATTATTATAAATAAAAGTGATAAGATTGAATAAAATCACTTTCAAATAAACGCTTTGATGCTCATTTAAAAATACTGAACCTTAATTTAAAACTTTCTAACTTTGCTGGTTTATACTGTGCTTGGTTTTGACTGTACTGGCTTGAAAATACTAACTATCGATTTGCATCGGAGCGTTTTTTCGAAAGTGATTTTATCTCTCTGTTTAAACTACAGTTAAATAAACAATTAAAGAATATGTTTCTGCCACTGAAAACAATTTTAACCCGTTAATACTTGACGGTCATGACTGCTTAGTATGCTGCATGCTGTTCATACAGCTACTTAATTCGGAAAATAATTTAGGGAAAATTATGATATCAAAAGTTTAACAACTAACCCCACTATCCCCTATACTAAATTCAAATCAGCTGCTTAATTTTATCATAATTTTGAAACGAATAGATTATGTTCATAAATTATTTAAAAAAAACTGTATCGTAATGAGTTACATTAACCATGATTATTGTTTGACACTTATCTGACAATGATAAAAATATCTCAATATATAACAATCTTTGAGCATTGATCACATAGCAAGCAGGTAACGTTAATTTAGAAAACCGAATTCCTTCAAGTACATGTTGTATTTAACAATGCTATACCTACTGAAAAGTTTGTCAAATTTGTCCCTTTCTAAATAACAAATAAAATTATAGTAATTTTTCTTTTATCTTATAAATAAAAATAATACTGCACAAAATATAAGTAATCGGTGTTTATTTGAAATGTATCAGCGATTTTGGATTAATTTGTCTTTAAAACATATTGTATCTTAGAATATTTTTTTTTTGAAAAACATTTCAAGAGAGTTTAAAACATTTAAATATATATATGTATATTATCATTAAACTATATACTATTACATAATATACCTATTAAACTATTATCCAATCGGCTAAATTATTCATCCGTTCTTTACGCCTTGATTGCTTCTTTCCTTTCTTGAGCGAATTTTTCAACGGATACCTTCAATTTTCTACAATAGTCTTTAAAAACTATATTAAATATTCGTAAATCTATCCAATCTAAAACAAAAAAAAAACGAAAATTTTGAATTTAAATATAAAATATAATATTTTTTATAATAGAAACACCACCATGAAACATTCATGGTGAGTTTTCGATGAAGCAATTTATTTTATCTTCGATGTGCAGTTGAAAAAATTATGTTTTATAGTGATGTGTTTTTATTTGTTATAATTTATGTCTGGACTAAGGGGTGGTAACTTTTTTCCATTTCAAATTTTTTATCGTACTTATGGGTTCTCATCAATTTTAATAGTATATTACATTTTATATATAACAAGATATTCAGATTCGGCGTTGCCCGAGATTTGGTGTGCCAGGGCTGAGTAAAATAATTCCCATTTTCCCATTTCCATCCCCACCTTCATTTCCATCCCGTTCCCCATCCCTCATCTTTAATCTTTAATCTCCTATCTCTTATCAGATAACAGCGTGACAGCGTTTTTGTGACACTTTTTTCGGTTTTTATAGCCTCCTATTACTCAAGTGTCCCAGTCACGGTCCCAGATCCGGTTTCAACAGTTAAAAGATGATCATGTCGTGGTACAAAAAAAACGCTGTATTATAATTGAATACAAATTTAATGCATAATAAAAAAATTTAGCCGTCCCCTCATAATAAGACGCCCGGGGAATTAGCCCCCCTGTTGCCTCTCTTAAATACAGCCCTAAAAATTTGTGCTTAAAGCCACCTTTATGGGCGGAATTTTCAACATATTTTAATTTTTCTAAATATGAATGAATATAATATCCTTAAAACTAACTTTTTACTGTTTCGCATCAAAAATAAAAAACAAATACTATTTAATGATAAGTAATGTGCGTAGTTAATATTTACCTTTTTGTCCTTCGTCTGCTTCTGGAAAATGAAAATCTGTTACGTAACTTACAAAGAAATCAAAGTCTAATTTGGGGTATACCATAAATGAGCCAAATTGATAAAATGTAAGTTTAGTAGGTATATTTTTTTTGTTGTAAACAACCCATTCTCTACAAATATTGAACGCATCTTTTATAATCTGAAAATTGTTGAACATTACAAATTTTAGTTTTATAAGAAATTATGAAATTTAAATACTCATGTACTTAAATATACGTATAACCATTGAGTATATATAGTCAACGGTATAACTTAATTGTCATTAATTAACAAGGCTATAATACAACACAAATATACTTTAGCGGTTAAATACAAAAAAAAAAACAGTATTAATTACCTCATCATCATATTTTTCTTTTAACTGTAAGTTTTGAAGCTAAAATGATAATAGTTTCTTGATAACAATTGCTCTTTAGGAAAACTTTTTACTTTATATTATAAAAAATTCAGCAAAATATTCCAAAAAACCTAATAGTTTCAACTTAATAGTATAAATTACCTCAGCTACAATTCCCAGTTCTGGATTAGTTGAACTTGAAGCTTCAGGTAGGTCCAAATCCATATAGCTAGCCTCTAGGATATAAAATAGTAACAAAATAGAGAACAATAAAATCATAGTATTGTTCTATAAAGTATAAACTAGAGTTAAACTGTAAGACAAAACAAATTAATTATTCTGTCCTTGAATGCCGGTTTTTATGGAATTAAAAAAAAACCAAGACTATACAAGTACATAAGTACATGGAATGTGATTGCTACTGAATTTTTAAGACGCTACATCATTATTTATATTAAAATATTTGCAAAACCATATAAACACATCGATGTTTTTAACAAAGAGGTGTGTAACTGTTCTTTTTTTTAAATTTTACAAAAAATAGGTTAGAAATTGTGTATTGCAACACCATTACACTTATTCAATTTGTACCATTATTTCGCTAGAATTTGTTTTTTGTTTTTGTTTATACGGGAGCACTGATTTTACTTTCTTAGAAAATCGATGTTTAAAGTAGTCATCTACCATTTGTTGACAGTATTTGCGAATCAGATTTACTTTTTTAGGATTTGTATACACAAATGTGTCACTATGTTGTTATTTCTATTGCGCTACATCATTTGACTATTTACAAAAAAAATATGAATGGGCTGAAGCTTTTACGGGTTGAAATATTACGTGAATGACTTTCAGATGTACCTTTGTCAACACGGGTATAATGATAACCTTTTTTCTACTGGATCTATATACTGGAATAGCAGCTATATAAATCCGAAATCGAATGCGATTGGTACTTTGGTTGGCCAAACGTCGATAAAACCAAATTTTTCTCCCTCGAAACCGATAAAAAAAAATGTTTTGGTTCTCCCACTTTCAAAATTAACACACTATAACTTGGGATGATTCGATCAAGCATCGGAATACAGAAGATATCACAGTAGAATAAGTTAATTTAAGGGAATATTATTTAAGGTTGTGTATTGAATATAATTAATATTGTTTATTTGGGTAATGGAATATAAGTAATAAATATTATATAACCTTATATGGTATTATATGTGTACACTGAAGAAATCATGAGTAATATTTAAGTTGTTTTATACAAGGACCAATTACATCTGTAACCTAGATTATATCATATATAAGGCATAGTATTAAGGTGTTGGATTTACCATTCTATTACGGCTGCTGTTATAATTGTAACGTACGTTGTATATATATATTATTCTCTATACTGTGTGTGTTTTTTATGTTTAATAGTATTGTGTTCAAACATATTATTGTTGTGTTTTATTTTCTACTTAAATACTAACTTCCACCAAGATATACAGGCGTATATCGCAATAGATATAAAATAGTAACAAAATAGAGAACAATAAAATCATAGTATTGTTCTATAAAGTATAAACTAGAGTTAAACTGTAAGACAAAACAAATTAATTAATCTATCCTTGAATGCCGGTTTTTATGGAATTAAAAAAACCAAGACTATACAAGTACATAAAGACATGGAACGTGATTGCTACTGAATTTTTAAGACGCTACATCATTATTTATATTAAAATATTTGCATAAACCATACAAACACATCGATGTTTTTAACAAAGAGGTGTAACAGGTTCTGTTTCAAAACAGAATATAAAAGGGTTGGAATATTTCGTGGATGACTTTTAGAAGTACTTTTGTCAACACGGGGATAATGATAGCCTTCAGGAGAAGGAGATAGGGTTTAGGAGTTAGGGGTAGGAGATAGGAGGTTGAAGTTAGGGAGTATGAGATAGGGGGTGAGAGTTAGGAGTAGGAGATAGGTATGAGAGATAGGGGTTGGAGATAGGGGGTAGGAGATAGGGGTGGAAGATAAGGGTTCTATGTTGTATTCACAACGTTTAAAATAGAAATGAATAATAAATTCAATCATTTAAGGGGCTGAATTCCCTATGAATTGTTTTGGTCCAGATATGAAAACGGTCGGGTGTAGTCAACAATTTGATCGATTTTTTATTATGCGTATCCAAGTTTAAATCTCAGATACATTTTTTTGACACGCTGACTTCACCTTCATTTGACAATTTTTGACATTTACATGTTTTAGCTGTGGTACCTAACCGAAAAAAAGCGTAACGAATCAGTATCTCGTAGGGAGATAGGGGTAGGGTTGGTAGATAGGGGTGGGATAAAGGAGGTTGAAGATAGGGGTGGGAGATAGGGGTGAGTGATAGGGGTAGGTGATAGATGTAGGAGATAGGGGTAGAAGATTGGGGTGGAAGATAAGGGTTTTATGTTGTATTCACACAGTTCAAAATAGAAATGAATAAAAAATTCAATCATTTAAGGGGCTGAATTCCCTATGAATTGTTTTGGGCCAGATATGAAAACACTAAAATATTAGCCAGAAACTTGATATGTTTACTAGCCACCTTAGACAAACAAGAATGTATCCCGTGGTGTTGCGGACTCGTACGCAAGCTGTTAAAATATAATATGTAATACCTATGTGAAAATCTGTAATAGCACCTTGCAAATCATCGAATAGCGACCGCATAAAAAATACGCGTAACGAATCAAATAAATAAGTTTTTTCTGTTTAACTAAAACACATACCTAATGACATCTCAGTTTCTATAGTTGCATGGTTATATTTTAGCGCAGAAAGCTCACGAATTTAAAAAAAAAAAACTTCATCTGGAAATGACACTACATTTATGTCTAACATTTTAATAAAATACATTATATAATTGACTGCATGTACAAAAAACAGGTTATTTTTAAACAATGCCCAGGCTTGTTTCAGGTAACATATTTAGGTTTCATATTTGAATTAAATTTGTTTTAAACATTTTTTTTTAACCAACAGCTAAATTCTATTTAATTACCTCCTTCCTCTGAGCCATTTGAGCCACACCTGAAAAGTTAACGTTAATTTAAAAAATTATGTTTTCATCATCATAACTCTAGGTCTGATTACATTTTTTATACAAGTTTTATTCCAGAAATAATGTTTATAAAAATACTTACGAAGCATATGCTGCTAGACTAAGTAAAATTATAATCTTGATATTCATCATATTTAATGTATTATAAGTATAATATACAATTGTAACGATGTACTTGTTTCACTTGACTACAAAATCACACTGTGTGTTACTACAATATTACTACAGAAAACAACTATGTATATACACCTGCGATAGCTGACTACACAAATAAGAAATTTTAGGTCTTGGTAGCAAGACTGTAGGAATATATTTACCGGGCGTATTGTACAATTTAGTGCCTACAATTGTGTGTGTAACTTAATACAAGTTGTCACATGAATTACATCAGTAGACTATTAATAATGTTTTATCATGTTTCGATCAATTCTTTTAAATAATATTATAACAATGGCTTTTGTTCCCTCGTGTCGATTCCTGAGTTGAGGCCAATACACGGTTAGGGTTTTCTATAAAACACAACAAGAAATTAATATACAGGGTGGGGCAGTGAAACAGGCGATTTTTTAATGTATTTAAATTGAAAAATCGTCCGTTTCACTGCCCCACCCTTTACAATTTAGGGATATATGAAAAGGTTATTTTATTTTATTTTGTTTGTACATTGTCAATCTAGTAAAATAGAAGTATAATAGAACTATGAAAGAATATAATGTATGAAGTATAAATAGATAGCGTGAGATTGCTTTAATGGAAGTGTATAATACATAAATATTATTTTTATTGTGAATAAGCAATTATAATTAAAACTATGGAGTAAAAACGATCGAAACATGAATCATCGACAATTCCAACTAATTTAACAAGTCATTGACTATGTGTTACTTGGTCCACTATGTTTTTTCAAAAAAACAGTACGTAGGGTCGGGTATAGTGGGGTTCGAGCATATTGGGGTCGGGGCATAGTTGGGACGAGGTCACAGGCTTACAGGAATTTTTAAATCTGAAAGTGATAAAATCACTTTTGAAAAAACGCTTCCACGCAAAGCAGTAGTTAGTATTTTCAAGACAGTACAATACTAGCTACTGTCAACTTTGTATGTTGGTAACGATGGTGATAAAAAAAAAACATATTGTTTTATTTTGAATATTTCAACGAAAGGAAATCATACTAAGGACGAAAATGGAATGTGGATGATAAGATAGATGCCATTAGAACATTCTTAATGCAGGAGAATTAGAATTTCATCTATCTTTCATATAGGCCGTAATCATTGTACAAATATAGCGATAATGACAAAATATATATTAACTTTATTTTATTTATCAACAAACTCAGGCGAAAATCTTCAATTTCTGACATACGCTAGGGCACCATCACAAAATTGTCTTATTGACATAAGTAGTTAATCCGAAAATTGTAAGATAATACATTTTATATTGGCATCTGGAGGAGGTTAAGTTAAACAATATAGATAGTTCTGACAACATGTTCCATTTTTTTTTAATGCTCTTTTTGACAAGTTTTTCAGAAAATATATTTTTTTTTTGTGCGAAAAGGCATGCATTATATGACTAATCCGTATTCAAATTTTGTTAAAAACACTTAAGTAATTATTAAAAATTTGAATCTGTAGTAAATATAACACATGTATTCGGTGTAATACAGCAAGTGTTTTTACCGCGTTGTCGGTAAATATCTACAATAAAAAAATAGGTCGCACAACATATTTTTACCAGATTTTTACTTAATTAATAACTAAATAACTACAATAACACAGCCAATTTTTACATATGCATATGATGAAAAATTCATCATTAAATATAACATTGGAATATAATTTTAAGACTTACAATCCAAAACTTAGATTTAACCTAATTTAATTTAGTTAAATTGAATTGAACACAAACACCTTTTTGTACTTTTTGTTTACATGCGTTACCAAATATTGGGTTCATTTCAAGAATCGACACGAGGGAACCAAATCCATTGTTACAATATTATTTAAAGGATTGAACGAAACATGTTTAACCTATTTAAAAGTCTATTGATGTAATTGCTCTCACCGTACAAGTTATAAAAATACCAAAAATGATTTATATAGTCCTTCATTGGTTTGTCAAATTAAGTCAATTCGTGCATTCATCTCACTATCTTCTGTTGACCACCAACATATTTATTTCGTTTGTTCGGTGCTCAACACTCGTTTTCATCAGTCATTGCCATTATATATAACTTTTATTTTGTACTTTAGATTTGTTACCCTTTCCACCTATTCCCATCACACATTATTGATGGGTCTTATTTTTGATATAATTTTAACTACATGGTTTTATTTCTACAATTTTTTAACAAAGTTTTTTTTTTTTTGGATTAGCGAATTTAAAAACTACTGATATTTTGATCACACAAAATGTGTAACATCTGAATACATGTATTCTGTATGTAACCATGTATACTATGTATGAACCTTAAAGTATGTTTGTTACAGTATTTCCAGAATAATCGACATAAAATATGTACATAATATTGTATCTGTAACAACTGGGAATAAGTGTGTAAGACGATTTCAATCATTTTTAGGGGAGCGATTTTAAACTTGAAAGAAACCACTTGAGTACTTCAATGTATTTATCAATATAAGAGGATCATAAAAATCAAATGTTTTAATTGAAATTCTGTTAATGGCAGCTGGTCAAACTTTACCTCTACCTTACTTCCTGACCGAAACTTGAAACTTCAAAAATAGTTATCCGAAACTGGTTATCGACCAGTCAAAATTTTTAGTATATTATTCTCTATTTAAAAAGTTAATAAAATATATTGTTACCATTTAAGTTACAAAAGTTGCTATCAAAAAAACTATGTTAGGAGAAGGACAAAAAAAAAAAAAGTGAAAAATTGAGATCACGTTTTATAAAAACATAAAAAAAAATTAAATTATTTATTAAACCTAGTGAGATATCGACTGGTTCTTGATAAAAGAATCACCCTGTATATAGACCAAAACCTTTAAACTTTTAAAGTCTATTTATGTAACCTTATTTTGACAAAACAATCAATTAGTTTAAAATAGTTTTATTCAATAAACACACGACTGCGATACTCGGTGTCTTCTTTGTTTTATACTTTGACCGCTGTGTCTATTTTATATTAACCTAAAATATGTTGCTGTTGTGCATGATATCATATTTGATATTTTTACCACACATACTTAGATGTCACACATTTTGTATGTTCAAAATATCAGTTCTTTAAATTCACCAATCAAAAAAAAAAAACTGTGTTCAAAAAATGTAAAAAATTATACCAAAAATAAGACCCAATAAGACAGTTTGGTGGGAAGAGGTGGAAAAGGGCAACAGATCTGAAGTAAAAAATAAAAGTTATAGATAATGGCAAAGATTGATGAAAATGATTGTTGAGCACCAAATAAGAGAAATAAAAAGAAAAAGGGAGGTAGTTTAAATAAATGATAGTGAACTGACTTGATTTGACAGAACAATGAAAGACTATATAAAACATTATTATTAAAGTAAAGGTAGAGTTGGTAGGAATTGGTGTTCTTATTCTGTTAAATTAAATTAAATTAAATCTAATTTTTTGGATTGTAAGTAGTAAAATTATTTTTCAAAAACGTTTGTACGATAAATTTGCCACCATGCATAGGTAAAAATCTGGTAAAAAATTGTTGTGCGACCAATTTTTTTACTGCAGATATATACTGACAACGCTGTAATACACTTGTTGTATATTTACATCGTAAAACATATGTTATTTTTTTATTAGATTTAATTTTTTAATAGTTGCTTAAGTGTTTTTAACAAAAAATGAAGAACACAAATTTTAAAACGGATTAGTCATATAATGTATGCCTGTTAAGTATTGCTTATACTTAACTGTAAACAGTTTTATCGATAATAAATTCAAATTATACCAGTAATAGGTACCAAAGAAATAAAATATACGTTGAAAATAATTGTTTTAATTTCAACAGCAGTAAAATAATTTATGTACACAATTTAGATGGTCTAGGAACTGTAAACAATGTACTAGCAAAATCTAGAAAATTTATAAAAACATTTGTACAGTTAAAATTATAGAATATACAATGTAGCAAATTCTAGTAGACGATTTAGAAGGCCAGCAACTAAAATAATAAACTAGCAAATTCAGTATCAGTAAATTCAGTAAATCTACATCAGCCTCAAACAACTCAAATTTTGGCTTGCTATAAAAGCTTTACATAAAAAGCGTTGATGAATATAATTTTTTATTTTTCGGCAATTTATTGAAATTAATAATTATCTATTGGGAAATAAAAAGTAAACCTATTAAAAAGATTGTCAAATTTGTCCCTTTCTATCAAAATTATAGTAATTTTTCTTGTAATTAAAAATAATACTGCACAAAATATAAGTAATCGGTGTTTATTTGAAATGTATCAGCGATTTTGGATTAATTTGTCTTTAAAACATATTGTATCTTAGAATATTTTTTTTTTGAAAAACATTTCAAGAGAGTTTAAAACATTTAAATATATATATGTATATTATCATTAAACTATATACTATTACATAATATACCTATTAAACTATTATCCAATCGGCTAAATTATTCATCCGTTCTTTACGCCTTGATTGCTTCTTTCCTTTCTTGAGCAAATTTTTCAACGGATACCCCCAATTTACTACAATAGTCTTTAAAAACTATACTAAATATTCGTAAATCTATCCAACCTAAAACAAAAAAAAAAGAAAATTTTGAATTTAAATATAAAATATAAAATTTTTTATAATAGAAACACGATGTTTCATGATTAGTTTTCGATGAAGCAATTTATTTTATCTTCGATGTGCAGTTGATAAAATTATGTTTTATAGTGATGTGATTTCATTTGTTATAATTTATGTCTGGACTAAGGGGTGGTAACTTTTTTTCATTTCGAATTTTTTATCGTACTTATGGGTTCTCATCAATTTTAATAGTATATTACATCTTATATGTAACAAGATATTCGGATTCGGCGTTGCCCGAGATTTGGTGTGCCAGGGCTGAGTAAAATAATTTCCATTTTCCCATTCCCATCCCCACCTTCAATTCCATCCCGTTCCCCATCCCTCATCTATAATCTCTAATCTCCTATCTCTTATCAGATAACAGCGTGACAGCGTTTTTGTGACACTTTTTTCGGTTTTTGTGTCATCTTATTACTCAAGTGTCCCAGTCACGGTCCCAGATCTGACTTC